TACTAAAAGGTTACACACAATATAGGGGATTTACCAAAGATCTGCCATTGTAAAGCGCCTCAGCCTTGAGAGGCTCCAGGGAAGATCACTGCGATGCAGCCAGGCTATTTAGCTGTGAGAACTCAGAGAAAACTCACTTCATCTGTCATATGTATGGAACACAGTAGTTGGCTTTCAGTGAAATTACTTGCAGTGGGAGAAGTATGCATGAGCTTTCTTGTACCCACAGCCTTCTTTGTTCCTTGATAAACAGGTCTTGGAAAAGCCACCCACTATTCGTGTGTGAATTGCCTGATCAGTGTTCCCAGGTCATGTGCTCACTTGGGTCACTCTGCTCCTTTGTGGGCTTTCAGAGAACACGTGGGAACTAGAGGAGTTTGAGGCCAAGCTATGGCCCAGGCCGTGACCTCTGTTGGAGCCTGTACTAAGCTACTGCTAGTTTGGCCATGTGGCTGAGTGCATCCATCACACACCTATTACTGTGCTGGACTGTGCATGGAACCCAAGGGTTTGCATCCAGAATGCCAGAATTTAACAGAAGTGAAAAAAGCTATTAGGCAGCTTGAAATTTGTATTGTAAGAAAGGTAATAAGCTGATTCAGATGGCATCTAGTATGTCTAGAAGTTTGCTGTCCCAGAGACTTAGTGTGCATTTTGAGCTGCCACCGTATTTTCCATGAAAGATGATGCATTGAGCCCTGACTGTTAAGACACAGGGCATGTCTGAAGTGAAAATGTGTTCTCCTCAAAGCTACAGAAACAGAAGTGACCATCAAAAATGAAGAAAAATCTCTAGTGGGTCTTCTGGCAAATGAAGCTCCAAGTGCTGCATTGCTTAAAGAGGAGGAGAATGTTGGTGCTTTTGCACTACTCGAAAGTGTAAAGAGGCCAGATGAGCAAGAAGTTTTCAGAGGCTGAGAAATCATTCTTGTGGACCACCTGCCCTACTGCATTTGCTTGAATTTTCTTTTTCCTAAGCTATACAGTAGAGAATAAGATAATCATGTTTGTGTTGCTTAATTATATAATTAGTTAAATTTGGAATGATGTCCAATAAATAGAAAAGTTTGTTCCAGAACTGAAAATCAGTTCTTTTCATGTTATTTCTAACATTTTCTTAAGTTGTAGGCACTGCTAAATAATAATTTTTCATCTTTAAAGAAAAATATACTTTCAATGTAATTATCTAGTGCTAAAGACTACTTTGAATTAAATTTTTTTTACTAGCATTTGCAGTAGGTGAAATTGTGTATTTGTAATGATTGGAAAAAAGTGAATTTGAACAGTGCTTCAGTAGATTATAATTGTTACTGGGTTTTTTAAAAAACATGCTATCTCACTTTTGAATGAGTTGAACTTTATCCTTCAGAAACTGAAGGGGTGGTTCAGTCCAAAAGTATTTAGGAGGACTCTAAATAGCATGAATTGAAAAAGTTCCTCAAAGTGGATATATATGACCCATCGAAACCTGTGTTTGAGCTATCTGTTTTCTCCAGAATGCATTTTATTTGTTAATAGAGCATTCCTTTTTAGTGTTTGATAATTTGTTATCATTGAGTAACATGGACAGTTGATGTTGATTTGTTACTGTGTTACTGTGGATTCAGTAAACTAGTAGTGATACTAGAAGTTCAAACGCTGAGTGCCAACAGTGTCAATCCAGGATGTCTTTGAGAGAGCCTGGAAAATGTTGGTAGTAACAGGAAGTGCTTCATTAAAAACTGAGTCTTGTCAACTTACTTCTGAATAATGTGTGGATTTCCAAAAGATTATGGCTGATCTGCCAAATCTAGTTCCATGCAGAATTAGACTTCTTTGTGCCCACAATAACAACTTCTGATATTTTATATTTTACACTCAAACCTCTTCATATTTTTCCTCTCCAGTTTCCCCCTAATGTTGAGAGACTTGAGATAACATTTTAACGTTGTAAGTTCTTGAATGATTATTTCATTAGAATTACGTCTAATGATCATTTGAAATACAGGAATGAAGGCACTAAGAACCAGAGATTTAGTGAATGTACTTAATTAGTATTTTGCTTTAAAGATAAATATCAATAAAAATATTTTCCTTCATGGGGATGATTTTGCTGCTCATACAGTCTGAAAGCTCTGAAACCAAGCAGACAAATCTCAGGTCTAACTGAAGCAAAGAATATTACATTCAACATAGAGTGTACCACATTTCAGGAACAGGATTAATGAGACACTTAATAGTTTTTTTATGCATCCTAATGTTTTAAATTTGTGACACATTTGATGCATTCCTAATTCTCTTATGGTTTTCTGTTGCAAACAAAGTCTTGCATATGAAATAGTTTTGTTAAAATGTTATTATTGATTTTAATTATCTTAAATGCAAGTAGTTCGTTTTAATAATGATAATTTTTCCCCCTCAGGAAAAAAAATGGTAAATACACATCAAATAGGAGTAGTGCTGTAAGAGCTTTAGGTATGATGGATTCCTTTGCAGAACAAACCATGTTTTTCACCTTGGGTTTATATCTTGAGTAATTTCCTTCTATATCCACTGTATCTTGAAAAATACTTACCTTGGAGTAATTTTTGAAAATTTTATAAAAATTCAGTTTGTGACCCAAAACACATCAGAAGGGAACATTTTAGAGTCAAGGACACATGCAGATTGTATTTTCTTTTTGCACATACCTGTTACTTTGTACAACACGAACATGCCATTACTTTGTGAATAGTACATGCACCAAGTGTTACAATAGGGCTTCCCTTCCATGGTTAAGTGGTTAAAAATGGAATGGGTCCCTCCTGGAAAAAAGTCTCTTGGAAAATCAACTTCAGAATCTCAAGTAGATTTTGAATTAGTATGGCTCATAAATCAAGGAAAGCACTAACAGCTTTACAGCCCTTTCATTCAGGATTAATCATTTGGAATAAGAAGACTGAAAGAAGGTAATGAAAGGTGAAAGATATGCTGATGTTCTTAGAGTGTCGATTTTGCAGGTTTGGAGTTGGTTGTTTTGTTCTTGTGGTTTGTTTTTTTGTTTTGTTTTGTTAACAAGACTGATCCAGTTATATTAGCAATACATTGGTTATGTAATCTAGCATGAATATGAGATTTTGGGTGGGAAGTATAAATATTCTAGAAATATTCTTGATTTCTCACTGTCTTCTGCTTTCTCTCATTCGCTATGTAGGCTAATGTGATGGAAGATTAAATGTTGTTTATGAACAGTACAAAGTAGCTGAAATAAGTTTGAAGTAATTTCTTTTCTAGTGAAGCTGTTAGAGGAATGAATCATTTGTATTTGCAGACTGTTAAAAAAAGGAAAGCCTTAATATCCTTGTACCTGTTTGTGTTGATAAGTTTTGCTGCTGAATGGAATTTCTGACTATTAGTTGTTTTGAAATGAGATTCAATATTTTTGTAGCCTTTTGAGGAAATTAATATAAGTATTAATTGACAGTAACTGTATCAGGTCCCATTATGGTTAAGAATTTAACCTTAGATACTTATGTTTACACAAAAGGAAATGTGTCATGGTACACCTAGAGCACAACATGTGATTAGCATATATTGGTGATGAGGTTTTTTTAAATAATCTCTTTGGGCAAATACTTTTAGGTTTAATCTGCAACATTTCTCTACAATATCAATTAGGATATCTGTTGAAAAATACATTTTATAGGTAACCACATTTTAAAATATGCTACAAAAGAACATGCATTGACAAGCACTAAAAATTTTAGAATTAATTTTTCTTGATCTGCTTGCATCTGTGTACTCCTCTGCTCAGCCTTTCAGCTCTTCTACTCCACTTTTCTGTATTTTGAAAGTGAAGTAGTATTTTAGGTTGGTTGTTAGATACACCATCTTCTAACATGAGATAGTACCTGGAGTCAGAGCTCTACTGTGCTATCATCTCCATTCACAAAATCATGTATGGTTTCATAGCTCTTGGTGACTGTAATGAATATCTGAAAATTCATGCTTAATTCCCAGTTCATACATTTGACTGAAGAGAGCAGACAATCACAAAGGTGATGGTTCTGTGTCAACTTTGTGGTTTCTCATCTCTTACTTGCATTTCAACTGTGTTTGGGATGTTGGTGTGGCACCCAAGCAGCCCCCAGCAGCTGAACCATTCAGGGCAGAGGGCCTTGATTCATCTCCCTCTGCTGTAGAAAGCAGGTGGTTCTCCCTGAGCCATCCTTCTAATGCCATGATGTAGTTTAATCCCTACCACATCCATTGTTTACACAGCTGACTGTGCTGCACTGTCAGTTTTTTCTTGGTTGCATCTTGTAGAGAAACAGTTTTATGAGATTTGGTACTATAAATGAGCTACGTGCAGGCCACATAGAGGAAAGATCTACCTTGCCAAGGCCCTTCTAAAAGAAGAGATGGAAACAACCGTTCTTGGACACTGGAAAGTTTTTACAGAATGCTGGAGCTGATTTAATTAGTTTGTTGTTGTAATTTGCCTTGTCATATCTAAGAGTATGAGTAGTTGGGAGGGGCTTTTTTATGTTGGTCTCTGGTGATTTTACATGGAGAATCCCATATTTTGTCCCCAGTATTGTATCGACAGCAGTAGAAAGAGCTCTGTGTCTTTGAGTCTGTCTTCTCAGTTGTTAATATTGATTGTGGTATTTCTTTAGTTTTTTGGGGTTTTTTTTTACTTTTTGCTTTTTTTCCTCCTGGATTTCTGTCTCATTGTGGCTAAATTTTAAATTAGCTGCTGTTAATTCAAAGTTCGTCGAGTAGCTATTGTGAATTTATGCATAAATACTTTTAAAACTACTTAGTTTAAGTACTTAGTGCAGAAACTTGGTTTCAACATGGTCACTTGTTTCTTCATGAAAAACATAACAAACTTGGCATGTTTAACTCTTTCATATAAAGACATCTTATCTAGAAGCAAAATACTAGCTTGTATTCCCTTATACAGGGATTGTTTTGTATTTGTGTCCATGCCTAACTGTTTCTTTTTTTTTTTCCTTTCTCTTCTTTTACTTTAAAAGGTATTTCTCAAGAGTGACCGGGTTGCAAGAATGGTCCACAGTGGAGGATGTTCTGCAAGTGACTTTAGAGATGTTTTTAAGAAAAACATAGAAAAGAGAGTCCGAAGTTTGCCAGAAATTGATGGATTAAGCAAAGAGACAGTGTTAAGTTCTTGGCTAGCCAAATACGATGCCATATACAGGGGAGAAGAAGACTTTTGCAAACAGCCAAATAGAATGGCCTTAAGTGCTGTGTCAGAGCTGATTCTGAGCAAGGAACAGCTTTATGAAATGTTTCAGCAGATTCTAGGGATCAAAAAATTGGAGCACCAGTTGATTTATAATGCCTGCCAAGTAAGTATTGGTGTCATTCAGTTTTGTTGTGTCCACAATATCTCCCCTCTGCCAGCTTCCACCCCATGTGTAGATTCCTTCAGTTTTAGGTATGTCTCTGCAGACCGAGGAGATGAGACTGCTCAGCAAGGAATCTTTGCATGATCTGATTGCTGCTGAGCACTTGGATAAAGGGTAAGCAGAGTATATGGTGCTTATGCTACAGGGGTCTCCTTTAACAGTGTCATAGCTCACACAATTTGAGTGATTCTGAGGAATGTGACATGGTCTGTACATCTGCATACCCTCTGATAAATTACATATGCATGCACATACATTTCTGACCCTGTGTGTTAACCTTTAAAAGAAATTTGCTGCCTATAAATAGATGCTCAGGTGATTCAGGCTCCTGTTGAACATCCAGTGTCTAGAAGGTTCATGTTTTAGAACTAAATGTGCTTCAATTCAAGCATCCTCTAAAAAGCAAATTTTCACATTTCTGCATTGTTTTGTTTGATAAATTATTTTTCCTGTAAATTACTGAGGCCGAGACAGTCAATTTAACTGTCCTATTTAGATTTATGCATATAATCTCTTGCTAATCAGTAATATAATTGGTATGTAAAAATATTTTATTAACCAGTGTTCATAGTGATGGAATTGTAAATTAGCAGTTGCTTAAGGAGGAAAAACCTGAAGAAAAGTAAGGTATTTTTGCAAGTCTCACAACCAGGCAGCATAGATGAAGCGTTTAAGCTGAGATCACACAGCTTCTTACACTGTCTATGAAATACTCAACCACATTACAGCTAAAATATTTTTCATATATTATACTGAAGGCTAGTTTGTAGTTATAGGCCACTACTAGTACAGGAACAAATTATATGTGTTAGTGTAGCATGTAATCATGTACCTGTTACATGATTGAAACATCTGCAGTATGTAACACTTCTGCTGCATCAAATTTTGAGCAGTGGTTTGAATTAAAAGAAAGAGAAAGTATTCCTATTTTTTTTCCTGTTTGTCCCTTCTTTTTTCCTTTTGCCTCTAAATTCACATTCATGTAAATCACAGCTTCTGGGACATGTGGGCTGGTAATAAGATGAGGAAGCATTGAAATCTGGGGTAATAATTATGCTTAATTTTGGGAGAGTTTTATATCCAATGAAACGTAGAGGCATGGGAGGCAGATTGGATAAGTCCTCAGGAGATCATTCAGTCCAGATTCCTGCTCAAAACAGGGTCAGCTTAAAAGCAGGGTCAGCTGTGGCGAGCTGTGAGACTAGATTACTGAGGGCTTTACCAGGCAGGTCTTAACATTTCTAACAGTGGAGACAGACTGTGTAAACCATCTGGGCAACCTGTTCCATTATCTGAAAACATGAAAAAAACCCTATTTTTTGCCAAGTAGATAACTTGTTCCCTATAGTCGAAACTCAATCTGAATTCCTCTCACCTCTGGTGTCTGGTGATTGCTAAGTCTTGCTTTGTACATTGCTGTGGGTGGTTGAAATCTGAAGTCTGCATTGGGCTGGAGGAAAACAAAAAAAAGTGTGACCTGTAGAACTTTGAATAATTAAACAAGAAAATTGTTCCCTTAGTCTAGAAGTAGTTTTGATTATACATCCACTAAGTAATTGTATTCTGTATACTTGAATGTCTCTTTATTTTGGTTCATATGTGTATAAAATTTGATGGACCAAAACTGTTTGGCAAATATCAACAATTTTCTGTCTTAGATTCTTGGCCCATAAGCCATAGAGAGACTGAAATATCCCAGTGGCTAATTTTTGTCTTCTAACTTGGTAGAATTGTGAGCATAGAAAGGTTGTCTTTTCTTATTTTTAACTTGCAAATTAAAGAGAAAATAACCTTGTTGTGGGTAAGAAGGGAGAAAGATTGACCACTCTGATGTGTGCAAAGATGACTCAATGGGATTAAGAGAAGGCACTTCTTTTGCTATTCCTGCTTTTGAGCACTGAAGGCTGTAAAATCTCCTGTGCAGGTCTCTGAAGTACACAGTGTTTACCTCAGATTCATGTAAGTATTGGAGGATGGGAAGTAATGAAAATCTACTTCTTGAGGAGCAGATAAATGATCACCTATGTACTTGAAGCTGAAAAGAATGGAGAGGCTGTACACTTGTTTGGGGTTCTAGCTTTCTGCAGATTTTAATTTTCTGAGGCAAGGATGAGGTTACTTTGCTAAAGCAAAAACTTTCATGATGTACTCCAACAGAGGTGCTAACAACAACAGTTTTCATATTCTGTTCCTGTGGTCCAGTCAAGCACATAATAGACCAAAGTTATGAGAAAAAGTCTGTTGCAAAGAAAAAGACAGCAATCATACCTTGCCAAGAAGTGCAGTGTAGACAGCAACCAGTCTCTGATAATGTAATACCTTTTCTCCTTTGGTGAAATCCCTTATTTCTCATTATAGTTTTAATAATATTTCAGCTTAGGCTGTATCTTATTCCTTTCTATTGACAGTGTATTTATAGAAGATGAGATGAAGTTAGACTCGAATTTCAGTCAGCACCAGCAGTTTTCATTCTGCCCTAGAAGCCTCTATCTGTCTTTGCATGGAAATGCTCACTTTCATTTCCCTTTGCTGCTGCTGTTTAGAATACTAGAGACATGAAGATAATGATAATCAATAGTGTCTGGGAGCAGTGAGATAAGTCCAAGTCCAAATAGATGTTAAAATTGTATTTTTGATAGAGGTTTTGATTAGTTTGGCTTCTAGCCTGTGATTCTAGCAGAGAATCAGATACATGAAATTCTTTATATTTTCCAGCTCTAAGAAACAGCTGCCCTCAAAAGCAAATCTGTATGGTCATAATTTGCACAGAAAACTTTTTTCTTTCACCCATTTTTTTTAATACCTTCCAGTACTTTGGAAATAGGAAACAGAAAAATATGTTACAATGTTGATGATAAGAGTAAATTATCCTGCTCCTATAGGGCTGCTGAGCAGACAAGGGTGCTCGTGTCTGTGTTCAGACAAGAGGTATTGTCTGCCAGCCTCCTCCTCGTGACTACCTCAGCGTTTAGAAACTTTTTACTGTATTTCAGCAGCTTCTGCTCCCCAGTCTGTTCTGAATGGAGCAGTCTCTTCAACTCTTAAACCATTGTTATCTTGATATCCCAGCCCAGCAGACAGTTCTGCTGGGATGTGGGTTCCTGTGGGTCCACACTGGTTGCCATTCTCCATCCTTCGTGTGGTAGCAGGGAGAACCAGCGTTCATTCAGCCAGCAGAAAAACTTAATCAGAAATAAAGTGGATAAGAATATATCAGCTCTCTGACACTGTCAAACAGAGTCCACATAGCTATGAGAATTTTATGCATTTTTCTTTGAAGAATAACTTTTTTTCTTTTTTTTCACAATCTTTTAACATACACTAAATGCCTAAGCTTGTACTTAGGCAGTGAACATTAAAAAGATGTTCACATTGGGATGTTGAAGATTTCAGTGATCTTGTTTTCAACTTCACAGTTTAGAGAAAGGCCAGCAACCACCCCACCTCTTTGTGATTAAAAGGTTCAATGTTGTAAATGTTAAGACTTTCACCTGATTTTTATTTACATTGTATTGCCTCAAGTGTTATATGATAAAGAAATGATTGCTGGTTAGCTGGGACTTAATGAGCTCCTTGGCTTGCATTTGAGATGTTTGGCCAAACTATTTCAATTTCTTTGATTTACGGAGATTAAACATGAATGATACTTTTTTCCTTTTTTTTTCTTTTTTTTTTTTTGTTTTAATTGTTCACTGATTTAGAAGGTAACTTTGCAGTAAGTCAAACTGGAAGTCAAACTCAAACTGATTTGTGGTCATACGCTATTATTATACAACTTCATCGGTACCAGAATTTCTTTGTCAGCTAAATTGCAACTCCACACGGGAGTTTATTTTATTTTGAAAGTTTTGATGCCTAAAGAGGCTACCTTGAACAAAAGCTAGACAATGTTAAAGGAAGAAAACAGCTATTTTAGTAAAAGACCTTCAAAGGATACACCTTGGGCAGTACAAGAGCCTGGCCAGGGCTCCACCCAAGATGGACCCAAGATGGAGACAAGACAGACAACCAGTCATGAGCTTTCATGCTTTTATAAGTTTTGGTCCATTTACATATTGGGATTAATTGTCCAATTACAACTTCAGTTTATGAAGCCTGTTTGCTCTCCTCAATTCTCTGTTTATACGTTTTGGGCCCAAAGCTGCAACAATGTCCTTGGTTCTCAGGCTGGAAAAGGATTGTTTTGTCTAACTAAACTGTGAGGGGAAGTTGCTAGTAAGTGAAGTTCAGAGTCACACACCAATGCAGTACAGAATCTGAAAAATATGAAAGCTAAAACTTGAGGCATCAGTGCCTTTATAGAGTTTCCTTTTTTGGCTAATCTAAATCCCCTTCTTGGGTGCCCAGAGGAGAGAACAATATTTTTCATAACGAAAGAATGCAAATTGCATTCTAACAAGCAATAAATAATTTTTAGTTTAATGTAACATTAATTTTTAGTTTAATGCTAAGTGTTTTAGTCTTGACAGTTTCTGGGAATCGACCACAAACTAATTCTTTTGGAAATAGCTATAGATGGTACTTTGCTACAAGATATAATTATCTGCTTAAAATCCTTTTATTGTGTCTGATCCTTGATTATCTTTAGCTTTGCAAGATACAACTCCTTGTATAAATGTCTAATATTGAGAACGATGGATTATATTGTATCTTCAAAAAAAAAAATTAAATTCTATGAGTAGTTTCTGTCAAGAACTTCTGACTGAAGTCTGCTTATGGTGCTCAATACAATTGGAGTCTTTCACCCAGCACTTTTATGAAGTCCAGTTAATTAGCAGTTTTGGAAATAAGTCAGATTAAGGGCAATTTAATTTGCAGCAAGGCCTTTGTGACTTTTGCATGTTTTTAGTTCTGATCCTTTCCTTGGTAAAATGATGAGAAATAGTGCAGTTTTTTCACAGATCACAGAATTTCCCATACTTTTGGATATTTTCTGTAGA